AAAATTTTATTGGAAAGAAAAGCCAGTGACATATGATTGGAAAGAAAAGCCAGTGACATATGATTGGAAAGAAAAGCCAGTGACGTATGATTGGAAAGAAAAGCCAGTGACATATGATTGGAAAGAAAAGCCAGTGACACATGATTGAAAAGAAAAGCCAGTGACATATGATTGGAAAGAAAAGCCAGTGACGTATGATTGGAAAGAAAAGCCAGTGACATATGATTGGAAAGAAAAGCCAGTGACATATGATTGGAAAGAAAAGCCAGTGACATATGATTGGAAAGAAAAGCCAGTGACATATGATTGGAAAGAAAAGCCAGTGACATATGATTGGAAAGAAAAGCCAGTGACATATGATTGGAAAGAAAAGCCAGTGACATATGATTGGAAAGAAAAGCCAGTGACATATGATTGGAAAGAAAAGCCAGTGACATATGATTGGAAAGAAAAGCCAGTGACATGACAGATAAGAAGCAAATTTACGCCAATACGTATAAATATAATATATTTTTTTAACGTTATTTTAAGCCTGGATAATTACAGCACTGTTTGTCACAAATTGTGATATTAGGAGATAGTATGTCTGAAAACTGCTTTTAAAAAAAAAAGTGATAGGATGGGAAGAATAATCAGTCCCCGGTCACCAGCAATGAACTCCCTTGCATACGTCACAATGGTTTTATTCCAAACACCTTTAATATGAACTTTTAATCATGTCAGAAATACCAGGAATCTCATCCCAAAACACAATGATATAAAAACATATAGATCTACATTTGAAAGAAAGCGACCAGCAAAAAATAAGAGCCGTTTTACATGTTGTGTCAATAATACAAACAAACAATCAGAACAATGATGAATTTTAAATTCAAATGCCAAGTTCAAACTTGTTCTGCCAGTTAATATACAGCTTATCTAAAAAAACAAACATATGCTCAGTGTATGACCCAACTTAATATCTGAAATATGTTTTTTGCCACACACACATACACACACACACAAGCTGAAACAAAGAAAGAAACAAACACATCTCAAAGCTTGTGAAAACTTATTAAGATACAGTAGAACTCGGTTATGTCGACGGCCTTGGGGTTGCCAAAAAGCGTCGAGATAACAAATGATCGAGATAAACGAAAACCAATAGAGCGGCAATTAATTAACATGTGCTTGACATTTCTTACGATGTGTATTTACAAATGAGAACGTACATGCATGCGTTGTTGGATTTTTTTGTGTACACAACAGCGTTACCGGGATTTGTTGGATTGTGTGTGTACACAACATCGTTACCGGGATTTGTTGGATTGTGTGTGTGTACACAACAGCGTTACCGGGATTTGTTGGATTGTGTGTGTGTACACAACAGCGTTCCCGGGATTTGTTGGATTGTGTGTGTGTACACAACAGCGTTACCGGGATTTGTTGGATTGTGTGTGTGTACACAACAGCGTTACCGGGATTTGTTGGATTATCCCGGAATTCCGGATTCGTGAGGCTAAATATTTTCAGCCAGTTTTTATTTTCTCTCGCTCCGGATTCGCCAAGTCAGTTTATTCCAATACGGATTCTGGGTTTCAAAACATAAACAACAATCAACTAGTAAGAACGCCTGAAAGCATGTTACGTATTAAGCGACAAGCGGGTTGGCTATAAATAGAACAGGTACTGCGAGCTCGCCTCTCTCTTTTGTCTGCAAACCTCTCACTCCTCGCTTCTTGCTGTGCCAAGTTCATTGCACGGACAACGTATTGGCATTTCATTTCAATTACTACAGTTGGAGGCAGGCCCGTTTCTGTTGGTCATTTGGATCGAGATAACCGAGGTTAATGATGCAGAATTTGCGCCCTTTTGTGCTCGACATATCAGGGTACGGCGACATAAAAGAATAGACATAACCGAGGATAAAATGCAAAGGCAAAGAGATAATTTGTCGGTTCCACTTCTAAAAACGTCGACATAACAGGGTTGGTGAGATAACCGAGGTCGAGATAAGCGGGTCCGACTTTATTTACATACACTTTCGTTAAGGAATCATAGAGTTTGGACTTAGGAGAGTAGACGTCTTAAAGTCGTGCTCAAATGGTCACAATGTGCCTAAAAACATGAAATGTGGTGGTGGTGGTTGTGGTGTTTGGGATGGTGGTAGTGGTGGTGGTTGTGGTGTTTGGGATGGTGGTAGTGGTGGTGGTTGCGGTGTTGGGGATGGTGGTAGTGGTGGTGGTTGTGGTGTTTGGGATGGTGGTAGTGGTGGTGGTTGTGGTGTTTGGAATGGTGGTAGTGGTGGTGGTTGTGGTGTTTGGAATGGTGGTAGTGGTGGTGGTTGTGGTGTTTGGAATGGTGGTAGTGGTGGTGGTTGTGGTGTTTGGGATGGTGGTAGTGGTGGTGGTTGTGGTGTTTGGGATGGTGGTAGTGGTGGTGGTTGTGGTGGTTGGGATGGTGGTAGTGGTGGTGGTTGGGATGGTGGTGGTTGGGATGGTGGTGGTTGTGGTTGGGATTGTGGTGGTTTGGCTGGTCGAGGTTGTGGTGGCTGGGATGGTGGTGGTTGGTTGTGGTGGTTGTGGTTGTTGGGATGGTGGTGTTTGGTTGTGGTGGTTGGTTGTGTTAGTTGAGATGATGGTGATGAGATGGTGGTGATGAGATGGTGGTGATGAGATGGTGGTGATGAGATGGTGGTGATGAGATGGTGGTGATGAGATGGTGGTGATGAGATGGTGGTGATAAGATGGTGGTGATGAGATGGTGGTGATGAGATGGTGGTGATGAGATGGTGTGGTTGTGTGGTGGTGGTTTGGGTTTACAGGCGAAACTCTTTAGGGGATAAAATCACAAAAGCTTGGCCCGTGGGAGGAGCATGGTTGCCATGACAACAGAGCATCAGCGTCTCCATAATTGATGATGATTGATCATTGATTCCCGGTGTTGCGCCTGTGGCCATCCATTTTACCATGCTCCCAGCGCTCTGATGTCTTCAAACCTAGGACAAGAGAAAAGGCTTCAAATGTTTCTGAAATGGTTTTTAAAAATCTTTTTCAATGTCCCTCAAAGGCTTCTGCAAACTGTTCCACAATTTAGGCGCTATAGCTTCAAAAGAGCGCACTCCGTTTGACTTGTTTCTGTGTCCATCCTCACTGGGAACTCTCAGTAAGGACTGTGTTGATATAGCGCAGGCTCTCTCAGGATACATGTTAAGAAATCAATCAGTTCTTTAAGATATTCATGTGATGAGCCTTCTATACAGCTGTACGCCAGGGACAGGATTTGGCTTTTTCCCAATTGGTTAGAAATATCTACCAGGCTGGAGCCCTAAGCCCGACAAGTGAATAGTCAGACAGGGCAATCAAAGTGTTACAATGTTACTGTGTTTCACTGTTACAGTGTTACTGTGGACGATTTAGATATACTTGAATCGATCGCTTGGAAGCTATCGAAAGAAATATAAGAAATAATAACAACACAGGGTCCGGGTGAACCTGAAAATGCCCCCCCCCCCCAAAAAAAAAACAACAAAAAACAAACAAAAAAACAACAACTTAAATCACCAAAAAACAAAAAAAAACCTGACAACAAAACAACAGCATTTTCACATGTTTGTATAAACTGAAACAGCGCGGCTGTGTCAACAGAAACACCAATAAAGACAACAGCTTAAACAGCCGTTGGTTGGTTCCGACTATTTTTTCTTCTTCAGGTTTTCCCCCCACAACCTTTTGTTGGATATTTCTGAATGCTTCAGCCCCAACGCCGTCCTCCCCTTCGAGACACACGTTACAGTTAGAGGCATGTGTATTCTTACAGACTTTTCAAAAATATACAATAAAACTCGAAATTCCCTAAACGAAATTCAATCAAGTAGAGGCCAGTTTAGCAGGCCAATGTAGCTCGAAAATGTAGCCAGACCACTAAAGCATGAAGCTCTTCTGTAATTATATTTAACTTCGTAAACAACTTGTTTGGGGGCAGAGAGTATGCAGCTCTACTTCCGTCGTTATAGCGCACTGACATTGCGTGTCTTATGAAGAGCTCTGCTTTCTACTCTCCAACCACATCCTTCCACAGAATGCATCACCTTAAGGTAGGTTTGTTGTCCGTAAGGATGCCCTCTACAAAGAATGGACTAGGACTTATTGTTCGCGCATGTCACCTAAGCTGTTAGTCAGGGGGCCTACATTGGATTAGTTCGTGCCTGAGGAGGCAACGTCTTCTGCGCTCTCTTACCACAAAAAATTAAAAAATGCGCCGTTGGTCAGACATCCAACCTCTTATTATAAGGAGAGAAAAAAAAGACCCCCCCTCCCCCCGGGGTTAGGACCGCCCTTTCCACACCGCCTTAGTACGCCACTACATATACATGTACTCAGTAACAATGGGAGTTGGCAGTCAATTAAAGATTCTCACAATGAATCAAGGGAGAGTGTGACGTGGACACCCAGGTCAATAAAGATCAAACATTTCAACAAGGAGGCAACTTGATACACATTTCACGAAGTCGCAGGAATGAGACGATCTGTTCAGCTGGGTGATGTGGAAACCTTTTGACAATAAGAACTATTGCTGACTAGTCAGCCGATCAACACACCATATTGTTTCGCCGCTCAAGCTAGAATATTTTTTATACAGCTGTTTTTTTGATGAAAGCAATTTATGAAACTTTTTTCTTTAGATGTCATGTTTATTTTTGCCAGTATTTTTATGCGAAACGCGGTGAGCCCAGCCCTAGGCTGGAGTGCAGCGCTATATAAGCCCACTAAAATAATAATAATAATAATAATAATAATAATGATAATAATAATAATAATTAGAATCGAGATGTCTTAAAATTGACATAAACACAGGAATGCCATATTCAAGCTTAAAATAACTATTATTTTCTTTTTCACAAAACAATTATTATTGTTATAGTAAGCTTTCCGTCCTTGGAGTCATTCATTATTTGATTTATTGCCGGTGCCGTAGCCGACAGTCTCTATGGCATCATCTCGGACCTTAATGGTTTCTTCACGGCTGCCGCGACCACAACAGCACCTTCTAAAGACGTCCCGCACGCCGGACCGGAACCGGCTCGAGAACAGGACGTATATCAGAATGTTGACGGCGTTGATGCACTGGCTTAAGTGAACGCAGACAGCGTGGATTAACTTAAACCAGGCGTAACCCTCATCCTCGGCAGTGATGGCTTCGTAACAAAAATAAAAACTTAATATAACGACAACCACCGGAAGTGTCAGGATGGGGAACAGGACCGCCATGGGCAGCGTCATGCGCGTCACGCCGTCCTCGCTTTCATCTTTGTCGCCGGCCGTTCCGTCTCTGTCGGCTGCTGCGCCCCACGTTCCCTGGTTCTTTTGCGCGCGCGCCACCACGTACAGAAAAATGAGCACCAGAAGGAGAAAAGAGGGCGCCACCGAAAACAAAGTGACCTCTACAAATGTCCAGAATCTTCCATTTCTGCCGAGTCCCAGGCATGTGTCTTGACTGGGGCCGGTAAGCCAAGCAGACGGAGCAGCCATCAGCAGCGCGGTGGTCCCCAGGAGCAGGCTGGCTATTTTTGCACGTTTGACGGTGAAGCAGCTGGTGCCGTTGTGGCTGAGGCTACGAAGTCTGAGGTACCGCTCGGCGATGATCAGGACCAGCGTCCAGGCGGAGAAGTAGGACGTAAAAAGCGTCAGAAAAGTCTTCGCCTGACAGTAAGCCGACGTCGTATTGACCCATCCGGTCAACAACACGAACGTGCTTTGCGTCGCCAGAAGGCATCCGTTGGCGACAGACAGGATCTGGACGAGACACGTCCCCGTGGACGGCGGGAATGTCCGCACGGCCAGAAGTGACAGGACGTTCCCAGGGATCCCGACGGCAAGGAAGGCGTAAGCGAACCACCGATTGAGTGAGTCCATCGTTTGACAGAGGCCCTCGATTGCGGCTAGCTCTGTATTGAGGGCCACAAAACTCCATCTCTCCTTGTCGCTGTTGAAATAGGTGCGCACATACAAGCAAAAGAAATATGTGTGTCCATAGAAGAGTTCCACTGCAGAGCTGCTAGAGTTCATTCTTGTGAATTTGATGTCTGTTGAATTGAAAGGAAATAGCCTCAAAACCAACAAACTGTTCCGACTTAGATTCTCTAACAGGTCAAAGTTCAAGATAGCAACTTTTCGCAACAGTCTTCGTAGGCAACAATGTTTGAACCTGAGAAGGGGGCGGGAGGAGGGAAGGAATAGAAGGTTCTCAATCCAACACTTGAAATATACAGTTAGATAAAGTAATGTAATGGCAATGCAATATCAATATGAATATTTGTTTAAAGCTTAAAATGTCAGCATTCGCACAGTAATAGTTAAGGTAGTACTTCATGGATGCTTGATGAAAACATTGAGCATAAGTATCACGAGAAAAGCCATCGATGCCATCTGACGTCATTGTCATAACTTCGTACATGTGTGTCCTAGTGTTACCTGACATGACCTGCCGGTCATTACTGATGGCGTACGGCGACCTAGTGTTACCTGACATGACTTGCCGGTCATTTCTGATGGCGTACGGCGAGGAAAAAGTGGCCCCTGGTGTGACGCCTTAAAAGGTAGAAAAAAATGCCACCCTGGGGAGGACCAGTAAAATAACGATGTTCGTGCCCCCTTGTCTTTGTGACGTCATGACGTCACTGCTTGCATGGTTGACCACGCCTCTTAAACAAAGATGTCCAACCGCGACCAACCAACAAACATACACCCCTCCGTACAAGTCCGGTCCCTTTCAACACATCCAGAATCTGAGGTAGTAATGCCCCTGCTCATGGGCTGTGGGTCTCGAAGTACAGCCCCTGCTCATGGGCTGTGGGTCTCGAAGTACAGCCCCTGATCATAAGCTGTGGGTCTCGAAGTACAGCCCTTGGTCATGGGATGTGTGTCTCCAAGAACAGCCCCTGTTTATGGGCTTTGGGTCTCGAAGAACCGCTCCTGCTTATGAGCTGTGGGTCTCGAAGTACAGGCCCTTCTTAAGGGCTGTGGGCCTCGAAGTACAGCCCCTGCTCATGGGCTGTAGGTCTCGAAGTACAGTCCCTGCTCATGGGCTGTGAGTCTCGAAGTACAGCCCCTGCTCATCGGCTGTGGGTCTCGAAGTACAGCCCCTGCTAATGGACTGTGGGTCTCGAAGTAAAGCAACTGCTTTGGGGCTGAGTGTCTCGAAGTACAGCCCCTGCTTATGGGCTGTGAGTCTCGAAGTACAGCCCCTGCTCATGGGCTGTGTGTCTCTGAGCACAAAGCTCACGTCATTTGGAACCAGATTTCAGCGTTGGCCAAAATATTTTGATACACACTCGTGTCATGAATGAAGCCCCTTTGTCATTAATCAGTAATTTACCACCATAGTCATCAATCATTCATAAATTTTCATAGTCATTAAATTATCATAAATTGTCATAAATCATTATTTAATTGTCATTGTCATAAATCATTATTTAATTGTCATTGTCATAAATCATTCAATAATTGTCACAGTAATTAATCATTGATAAATTGTCATACTCATTAATCATACATTAATTGTCATAGTCATTAATCGTGAATCAAATGTCATAGTCATTTATCATTCATAATGATTCATGGGCATAGCTCATTCATCAACTGCCCACGTGTTTGTAAACAAGAGAGCGCACCATGACATGTCAGACAACAGTACTCACACAGTGTAACCAACAAATGTTTGGACTGTTTTTGATGAACTCTTCTGTCCCGTGCTCAACAGTCCGTACCACATCCAGGGCAGAGACACAATCGAGGAAATGACATCATTTGACTTCTCCTGCCTTAAATACATGCATGCGATCACAGCCATACAGCCAGCCAGTCTGGCCAGACAACGCGGAGAACAGCACTGCGCCAGGGCTTCTGACATTCTTGAAGTTGTCACCAGCCAGCAGGAATTCATTGACAATTCAGCAGGTACTCGCAGCAGATTAATTTATTGATGTCAATTATTTATTTCATCTAATGAAAGCTTACCACCTTTAGCGGACCGTTGTTTCGCCCCCCGTGGACAGGTATTTTGGCTCCCGTGCACAGGTATTTTGGCTCCCGTGGACCGTTGTTTTGGCTCCCGTGGACCGGTGTTTTGGCTCCCGTGGACCGGTGTTTTGGCTCCTAAGGACTGTTGTTTTGTCTCCCGTGGACCGGTGTTTTGGCTCCCGTGGACCGTTGTTTTGGCTCCCGTGGACCGTTGTTTTGGCTCCCGTGGACCGTTGTTTTGGCTCCCGTGGACCAGTGTTTTGGCTCCCGTGGACCGTTGTTTTGGCTCCCATGGACTGGTGTTTTTTGCCCCCGTGGACATGTGTTTCGGCCCACGTGGACTGGTGTTTTGGCTCCCATGGACTGGTGTTTTGGCCCCTGTGGACCGGTGTTTTGGCTCCCATGGACTGGTGTTTTGGCCCACGTGGACTTGTGTTTCGGCCCTCGTGGACTGGTGTTTTGGCCCCCGTGGACTGGTGTTTTTGCTCCCATGGACTGGTGTTTTGGCCCACGTGGACCGGTATTTTGGCCCCCGTGGACCGGTATTTTGGCCCCCGTGGACCGGTATTTTGCCCCTTGTGGACTGGTGTTTCGGCCCCTGTGGACTGGTTTTGAGGCCCCCTTGTACTTATGTTTAATCCCACATGGGAAGAATTGACATTTTAAGCCAACGACAGGGCTTGCAAGGAGGGGGGGGGGAGCCCATGTACTGTAAGCCTGCGAATGTTGGGGGGGGGGGGTGGGAGGGACGACATTTTAATCCAACGACAGGGCTTGCAAGGAGGGGGGGGAGCCCATGTACTGTAAGCCTGCGAATGTTTGGGGGGGGGGGGTGGGAGAGACGACATTTTAAGCCAACGACAGGGTTGCAAGGAAGGGCGAATCAATGTTATGTAAGCCTGCGAATGTCGGCGGGTGGGGGGTGGGAGAGACGACACTTTAAGCCAACGACAGGGTTGCAAGGAGGGGCGAATCGATGTTATGTCAGCCTGCGAAGAGTCAAACATCATAAAGTAAACAAGACAAGTCTCGGCTATGTATGGTGGAGCCATGACATGAAGAGACGGGTGAGTGACATGCCGGCCAACGGGGGCGGGAGAGGATGGCAAAAATCTCTTGGTCGCATTCACATAATTGACACTTAGTATCAAACTAACTCCACAAAATGGTCCTATAGACTGATCGATGAGAACTATCAGTCAAACGAAGATCAATTGGACGCTCATTCAATCTGTTCAGTCTATAGAGCCTTCTATACAGCTGTACGCCAGGGACAGGATTATTGTGTGGCCACAGCTACTCCATCGTCTCGCGAAGACGGGAATATGCCATATATCAAGAGTACATCATAAGCAGGGTGGCCAACTCCAAAAAGTATTGATTTATTTTTATAAACGGACAAAAATTCTAAATCTCCAGGTTTTTTTTTTAAAATACGGACATTCCTTATTTTTACGGACATATCTCTAAAATCAACGAGCCAAGCTAAAACAATAGTGTGTCAATATCCGTACAGTTGTGTAATGTCTGTATTGGACTCCAAGTCACTGGACCGCGGCAGCTCGATCGTATTTCGAAACGTTTTGTTTCACTGTACAGCATTTTCCTCAGTGTTGAATGTCGTCCCCCCGAAAATGATCACGTGAGCTTCAAGCAAGTGGAAAGATATCAGTCAGGAAATGATCACGTGAGCTTCAAGCAAGTGGAAAGATATCAGAGAAAATGATCACGTGAGCTTCAAGCAAGTGGAAAGATATCAGTCAGGAAATGATCACGTGAGCTTCAAGCAAGTGGAAAGATATCAGAGAAAATGATCACGTGAGCTTCAAGCAAGTGGAAAGATATC